AGAGATCTGCCAAAAGAGTACTTTTTTACAACTCATGTGATTACATGCTGTTTCAATTTTGCTTCGAAGTGAAGTAAATTTTTAAGTGTTTTTGATACTCCGCGTAAATTGGGGGAAGGTGTATACGGCGAAGTCTATGAGACCAAATGTAATGGACAGCCTACTGCCCTCAAGGTGATTCTCCTTTTTCTTCTGCTGTATCGAACTACGTTTGAATTTTTCTTGTCAGATATTTCCACTTTTTGTAGGTGATTCCATTTTGTGGCAATGATGCTTGCTACAAGGAGAAAGTCAACGGCGAATATCTACTTGATGCAGCCGGCATTCTTCCGGAGGTTTCTTTCTATACATGCAATTTGCATTATGATTTGTAGCGTAGGCATCAAGTCGTTAAAGCGGAATACTTTTTTTTACTTCTCCTCTCTTTTTGGAGGACAAATGTCCTTGAACGGTATTAGGTCAAGAAACTAAGAGTAAAGCTTTTGAGTAGGACAGCACTAGATTTGAATTTCGACGAGAAGATATACTGTTAAGAATGCAGTTTTTCTACTAGTTCTAAAGTTATGGATTTGAGTAGCAAAATTTTCTATCGGTTGTATTGAAAAATCTTACAACTATGATCTACACACCGCAATTCCTTTCAAAGTCTTTCTGAATTTCCGTCATATGAGTCTATTTAAAAAAAAGCCTTTTTTTCTATGTTCTCAAGACCTCGCTTCAAAACATTGTAACCTGATAACATATTCTGATCCTTTCATGAGGTATGTTATGGCATTCATACAGTGCAAGATACGGTGTTTCGCCATTACAACCTCGCCAACTGCACGATGCCTTTCGGCTTAGTCAAGTTCTACAGGAAAATTTCCCCTATATAGAGGAATCGACTCCGAAATATTTACAACTGCCGCTAGGTGATAAAACCATCCTGATGGGCAGTGCTGTACAGTCGATTGCTCGTGTCTAGTAAGCGTATATTGTCATAATTCGAAATGACTTCCGTTGAAACCTCGGCATGTTAGTATTATAATACTGAGATGAAGAAAAAGAATAGCTTAGGAACTAATCCTTATTTTGAGCTTTCGCCAGATTGGTATAATTTTTCTACCCGAGATTCCCTTGACTAGATAATTCGACTCTGAGTAAGGCGACCATGCCGAAACGTCATCATCGATATTCGAGACAGTCGATCGAGTAAGTGATATCGACCTCGCGAAAGCTCAAAATAAAGATCAGTGCCTGTACTATTCTTTTCTATTCTCTCGGTTTTACGTTGTTTGCCACAAGAGACCGTATGAAAGGCTCAAATATGTTACTAGCTATTGAAAAAGTAGTTGTAGTGTTAAGCTGGATTGGATTTGTATGGATACCTTCCTTTCTGATGTTTGTCGATTGATTTTCTTTCTAGATTCTGATAAATCGTGAATTATCTGCTCTATCTGACTTATCCGAGGACTTCAGCACGCCAAATTTCATCCAGTTATTGAAAGTTAATGTTGTTAAAGGTATACTCTTGAGAATTGTTTTTATTTCTGCACGATAAATGATTACATTTGCTTCAGGTCAATATCCAGAAGAGCTTCTCGTGGCTTGGGACGAGTATGATGATTCAAACGAATCGGAGAACGATCGACCATCTGATTATGCGAGCGATCAGCAACTATTCGTGACTATTGGAATGGCCATGGGTGGTGTTGACCTGGAGCATTACAAGGTAGATTATTTTGATGCATAATAAGTTTTAACAAGAGCTGAAGCAATTTTACGAGACTCTTCTGCTTTCCCTTTTGATAGGTTGGCGTCAAACCAGTCGCAGCGAATCTGGCCAGCGCATTTAGTTCAGTATTGATTTAGTATGAACAAATTAGTTGTAGCAGAACAAATCAATGTGTTGGGTCGTCGTTCTATCCCTCGTTTCAAAGATTGAGAAAGGTATTCTAAAAGGCATGAGAGGATCAAATAGTTTCGAAATGGTGTAGTCATTGTAGCTATGGACACTTTAGAGTCTACACGATTGATTGCCAATATGTTACCTGTTTCTCTTTGCGTAACTCGTTGTGTTTCAGCTGGCGAACGAAGATCAAGTGCTGTCTGTGTTGTTTCAAATCGCTGTCTCCCTAGTCGTGGCCGAAGAACGTCTCGAATTCGAGCATCGTGATTTGCATATTGGAAACGTACTTGTAGAGGAGAATGGCGACAATCTGAAGTGTGTTCGAAATTATAAGTATGGCTTTTATTTTTCATCTTTCGAAAATTGGAATTATTTGTGAAACCCAAGCGGTCTACGGTAAATGATATACTGGTTATTTTTTTGACTTTTCTAGCTTCGAAATCTACGATATATCTTCGTGTCTTTAATTTCATGAAGAATTATAGTTATCGTTATTCTCGTGGAGATATGGTACTTCGTTCTTACGGCGTCAAAGTACATCTGATAGATTTCACACTCAGCCGCATGAGTAAAGGTAACAGTATTTTTCCGACTTTACGTTTGACGAAAAATCAAATTGTAGCAGTATCCCAGTTAGTTATTATCACCTTTATTTGCGCAAAATAGACTTCTTGCTTTCGAAGTTTCATAAGGACTCTCGACGTTGAGGCTTATCGACTTATGAAATCAGTGCCATCATCCCTCCTGGACAAGCCTCCTACCGACTGCCGACCCCAGGGAGCTAAAAGCTTTATGAATCTTGGACGCGTGATTGAACCATCGACTACGTGTGTGGCACAGAGCACCTTTGACGACTGCGCCGCATACGCCCTTGAATTGCCTAGTGAAGGCTTACATACAGAATTGTATGTAACGTAGATGCAGCAGCTAATATGTAGTCTGATTGAGACTGTATATTTCATGTTTATTCCTGATCAAACATAAAGACAAGCATATATGTGATTATCCTGACATTGTATTTATCGTTTTAGAAGGAACAACAGTGTTTCGTGATCTGGAAGATGATGAAGAATTGTTTACTGGTAAGGGGGACTACCAGTTCGACATCTATAGGATGATGAGGAATGCAAATCAGTGCGTTGCTAATGACTAATCTTTTACAGGATCACAAATTTTCAGCTTTTCAAGAATGGGGGTGTAGTAGTTGTTTCAGGGGAGACTGGTTGTCATTTACTCCAAAGACAAATTGCTTTTGGCTCCACTATTTGGCTGTGAAGCTAATTAGCCAGCGTCAGTGCAAGAAGGCGATACCAAAGAAGAGGCGGCGTGTAAGTTTTTTTTCTCAGATGTCATGAGCTAAATGAATGGTCCCTTAACAGCCTCATGTCCGCTGGATAAGAGAATTACGGGTTTATTAGATCAAGGCCGAGGTTAATCGATAGTCGTTCCTGGTAACAAGTGTTTCTATTTAGGAACTGCAAAAAAGATGGGACCATTTGTTGGAGTTTGACTCGTTGAAAGAGCTGTTCACTCACGATGATTTCCTTGTTGATTTGCAGCAACATTTACTAATCAAACATCCTCCTCCTTGTCAGTAATACCAGTAGAGGTTCACTATGCTTGTAGCAGCCTCGTGTCATTTTTTTTCATTGATTTGGCAGCCTCTGGATACGCAGTCTCCAGTTGATCTTTCACTTTTAAATGCGCAGATGATGTTAAAGAATCTCATTTTATGTGTATGTTTTGTTGCTTAATGATAGAATTTATCTATTTATTGTTCTTGATTTCTCTGTAACCTTGTTTCACTACAAGATAATTCTGTATTCAATTCGTTCATTACTTTCATGTACATAAGTGACCGCTGCTTTCTTGTGCAATATCTAGGATTGTATAAAAATTGAAGCTTTTGTGTTTGAATCTGGATGTGATTTAGCTTGACACCAGCGAATATCATGCGTCACGGTCTATGACGAAACTCTTGGCAAAATTTCGTCTTGTTTGCCCTAGTTATTTTGCTGTTATTTTAGTAAACGTGCGCCATATAAAAATCTAATTAATACTATTTTGCAAGGTCCGTGACCCCTTTGTGGCCGATAGGGGACTTTTCTCGATCCCTATCAGCTACATCTGGTCACATATCTTGCTCTGTTAAATTATAAATATGTCCAATATCTGTCAGCATGACTCGGTCAATGCCGATATCGCCTTGCCAGGTGAAACCTTTGACGGTTGGTTGCTGACAGATAAATACAGTTATGCTGGAGAAAAGGTGATGGTAGAACTGGGGAGCAGGTTGTGCGGGTTCGAACCCCGTGCGATGTTCAAAGCCTCAGTAGATTTCGCATTCGTCAGTTCGAGGACTAGTTCTTTGGAAAAAAAGGAAAATTTCTGACCTCGACCCATCAATTGGTTTACTCAAAGAATGTTATCCAGCAATCAACTTCTTATAATCAGCATCGATCAACGACTTATTACCATTACAATGAGAATTTGTACTTCTTGAGATTGACAGTCAGTATTCCCTGCTTTTTCGCTAGACCATTAACTTGTTCTTAGTACTTTGGTAGCCCGAGGAATAGTTGGTTTCTAGAGAAGCCTTTCTAGCGCGCTGTAGCAACGAAGAGAATAACACGCTTTTTTACACAAATACCACTCAGCAAGAGCGCAGTGGTTAGAGGTGCTCTGCGTCGCACACGAGGTCAATGGTTCAATCTCGCGCTCATGGCTCGACAAGCCTTCCATCCCTCCATGGTCGGTAAATTGGTACCAGACTGGTCTCAGACTTGTCGGGGAGGATAAGCAGCACTGACTCGGTTCAGCAGGGGGCAACCGCGAGTCATTTTAAGGGCCAAATATGCATTCAGTCACCTCGAACGAGGTTAAAAATTGAAGACGAATGAATGGCACATCCATCAGGGACTGATCAACCCCGAGAGCTTTATCCTTTATAGCTTTAACCACCCAGTTTTGTTAGGTATACTTGGATCATCACAACACTACGAAAAAGCAATAAAGGCATAAGAATCCTTGGATTCATAGAAGTGCAATGGCTGTCTCCTATCAGATCTGTTAATGGTTGGTGGCTTTAAGAATGAGTGGTGACTAAGCGTTGGCCTTGGTGGTGTAGTGGTAGCACACGATCCCGGTATGGATGAAACGCGGGTTCAACTCTCGCCTGAAGTCGAATTTTTGTCTACCACTCAAGTTTCTTGGTTATACTTGAAACATAATAGGATGCGAAAAAGCACTAAGAGCATAAGAACTCTTGGATTTCTGATGGTGGCCCTTGTCATTGGGATAGTGACCTACTTGTTTGAACTTCACAGGGGGTTCTCCTGGCAGTTAGACTGTTAGTTTTTAATTATGGGAACAATTCATCGTCACTTTGAGGTGACATATCAATCGAGGGGATTCTAGGAAGAAATCCGCCAAAACGTCCTGCGAATCCGCATTTTCTTTTTTTTACTAAAACCTTAGAAAATGAGTTTTTTTTCCCAACTCTTATGGCTCATTCTGTTGCCTATCTTACGCATGCACAGTTCGTTGAGATCGATCGGTGTCTTGCATTGAAGATTTTCGTTCCCTCATGTTATAATATTTGACTTTAGAAGTGCAAAATGATAATGTAACTTATCTAGCACTTTATTTGATTCGTCATCACAGTGTTTTTTTTTGCCTGGTAATTATTTTTTGAGCCACTCATGTCAATGGTTTGTCAATGAGGACTGATTTATGAGCCCGATACACGTGTTTCGATCTTGCGATCTCGTCAGTCGGGTAGTTACCCTTTCTCTTATTTTGCCAATCCTGTGTGGGTGCTCCAGTCCCCACACTAAGAGTTAGCGGCGACGAACGCTTTACACTCTATGTCCAGTAAAATTATCACCGAACACAGAGCGTTGTACACTCGATGGTTCTTGTCTAGTATATTTAAATATCATATCCTTCGTTCCGAGTGTTTTCTTAAGACCACAGCTCAAATTTCAATATGCCTGGCAATTATTTTTTGAGCCACGCATGTCACTGGTCTATCAAATAGGGCTGAATTATTGAGCCCGATACACGTGTTTCGATCTTGCAATCTGGTCAGTCGGGCAGTTACCCTCTCCCGCTTACCTTTGATAGACCACTGGACATGCGTGGCTCAAGAAATAATTACCAGGCATATTGAAATTTGAGCTGCGGTCTTAAGAAAACACTCTATACGAAAGATATGTTTTCGTTACTTGGCGGATCCCAATACTTCTAGCATTCAATTCGTTGTTCGTCTTTTTTTTTTTGAACGGCGTAGAATACTGGTTGAGCGAGCCTGCTTGCAATCTCGAGAATAGCCTTACTGTGGCGTTCCATAGGACGTTGTTGCTGACTGCCGGAGAGAGGTGGGGGGGGGGGGTGGAGCCCAGGTCCAAGCGAGCCGCGACCAACATTACAGCCACTCGGCCACGTCGCCCCTAATGTAACAGATTACGCGATGATTTATTCGTTTGGGGCAATGAATAAAGGCAAAGTGAATTTGATTCTATTATGATTAAATAGAAATGAGTAGCATGAAAATACTTGACAACTGTTGGAGATTCGTTCTTGTGAGTGAGTTCTTTTCCCATTCGAAACCACGAGATATCTGGGAGCAGTGGCCGCTACTTTTACTACTTTTAGCCTTGATGAGGTCCCATCTATCGCATTCTACAATTTACTGGCCAAAAAAACCCCGTTCAATGACGGGAAGATTCTAAACTCTACCAGCAAACCATTCTGTGGAGGGCTTAACTGCGGAGTACAATAACTGAGGAACTGTTGAGATCTATCTATGAAGAGGCATCACTTGATAGGGGTAGGATCATTTCTGACCTAGCCAGTTACTCATCTAAGAACATTGAGGGGTAAGCAAAAATTCGACCCCACTCAAGAGTCGAACCTCGGCGGCGTTTATCACCCCTAAGGGGGGCGTTCGCTAGCACCACACCGCCGCCAATACCGGTCTGCTGCCACTCGCTAATCGATATGCGCTATCGAATCTGTGTCAACCACCACCCCTTAACGGGTTCCGTCTGATAAGCACGTTTCGGCGTTATACTCTGTTGATATGCCAGCTTCTGTGTGTATTCCCTTTTGCGAACGACGGGAGTCATTCTGACCCTCTAATTTTCAAAGGCCATTGTTCACTTAGCGAAGTTCTTTATCTAGGATTTAAGCACTCATTCGAAAGCTCAAATCTCTAGGATTCCGAGACTCTGTTTAGCTCTCTAAAAGGCCTTTTTATTACGCTGTAGCAGCAAAAATTAGGTTATGGTTTACACTCGATGTGCATTATTCGCTCAGCTAACCTCTGTGGATCCCTTTCTTGTCGGTCTACACCAGACTCATTCGATAGCCTAGTTCCTTATCTAGAATTTAGGCAGTCATTCGAAAGCTCAAATCTCTAGGATTCCGAGACTCTGCCTAGCTTTCTAGAAGACCTTTGTATCACGCTGTAGCAGCAAGAATTAGATCATGGTTTGCCCTAGGTTTGCATTATTCGCTCAGCTAACCTCTGTGGATCGCTTTCTGTCGGTCTACATCAGACTCATTCGATAGCCCAATCTCGGCGCATTTGCTTCTCAAATTGGTTCTCGAAAAAGTTTTCATACCGCAGTGTAAGAAGGAAAACAAAATTACGTTTCACATTCGAAGTTTTCTTTGCACATAAGAATTACATAGGCACGAATAATATACAGACTTGTAGAGCAAATCATATTCTATCAACTGGTAGAAAGAATGTGAAATATTTCCCAAAACAAAGAAAAAAAGGAATTTGTTGGAACGAAAATCGCGCGCGATTGGCCATATCGACTATGCTGTCGTTCGCAAAGGGATAACCTATATTTTTCTGTTATCACTACTTTCTAGCATTGGTATGATTTTCAAGTACTCAAATAATACACTTTTATTTTGAGTGCTTTGTTTAGACCACGCTCAAATTTCAATAGATCCTTTCATTATTATCTGAGCCAACATGTCATGTGGTCTGATAAGGGCTCTTGTACAGCCCGAGACACGTGTTTCGTCCTTACAGACTCATCAGCCGGGCAGAACCCAACGTCTTTCGATTTTTTTATAGTCAGTTCTCTCGGGAGCCCTACACTCGTTATGGAGAGTCATCGAAGACGAACGTTTTCACACTCTATGTCAAGCGGAATTTTTCACCTAATACAGAGTGTTTTCGCACTCGATTGCTCGCTGGCTGGTATTTTTAAGAGTGTAAAACGTTCGTCTTAGATAACTCTCTATAAGGAGTGTAAGGCTTCCGAGAGAACTGACTATGAAAAGATCGAAAAACGACGGGTTCTGCCCGACTGACGAGTCTGTAAGGACGAAACACGTGTCTCGGGCTGTACAAGAGCCCTTACCAGACCACTTGACAAGTTGGCTCAAATAATAATGAAAGGATATATTGATATTCAAATAATAATGCTCATTTTGGGGACCCAGTCTTGTAGGACTAATATTTCAGCGTCATACCACTGCTAAATGCAGTCAAATCGAAGAAGTATCGGTCAAACTAGTCATTGTTTTGTAATGGTTTGACACTGTTCCAACCCCGCATAGCCTTATTGAGGACTCTTAATTCATAAAGTATCTCCTATTGATGACGAAATCCCCCCTCAGTGACGATAAAAATCTGGTTTCATTACGAAATCATATATGTAATGTCGATTACGCCGATCGCTGGACGAGCGGCCGCGCTACGCCTCTTCCTAGCAACGGCGGTACCGAGAGGGTTTACGCGGTCAGCACGTGTCAGTGCAATCATTGCTGCTCTTTGTACCATTTTCTCTGAAGTTCATTGTTTATCATGCCGTAATTCGTCGTTCGATCGCCATATTATATTCCTTCTTCAGAGCTCAATGACATCGGAATCGTGTTCGAACGAGTCCAGCCAGGTTTTCGATCCGTCATTATCTCTCAAGGCTACCATAAGTCCGGAATTTCTTCATACGAACAGGTAGCACTGCGTTATGCAATCATTTTCCAGATCCGTATATGCCACGGGATTCGTGGACAATAAGGACTTTGTTTATTCTAGTACAAATGCGGAAATAATACTTGAAATCTATTGTTCAAATAGGAAATGTTTCAGTAGAGCTCATGAATTTGTGTTCGGTGCCATCGCCGAATTGGTCGACAATTCTCGAGATGCAATGGCAAACAACTTGCACATCGACTTCAGTAAGTGTCATTCATCAACTCAAATAATTTCGACGCTCTGGCCTTCTCCAAGAAGCGTTCCTTTTGCAATATATGGACGAATGTGCTTCTTAAGTAAAGAAAGGGAATTATTTTTCCCTAGCATATGAAAATCTAACCATTGTGAACGTAATCTGTGCTTCTATGCGCATTTCGTGGTAACCGCTATAGAGGATTTTAGCACCAAATGATGAATATGGTGGACTTCTGTCGATACTTGATGATGGATGTGGTATGGACAGAAAAGAGGTAGATGCCTTCATCCCTCATCCTTCTTAAACTCATGGTTTTCATCCATCAATGGCCAAGTGTTCTGCTTCTTTAAGGCCATTTCTGTCGTTTCGTTTGGTCACTCATTGAAGAGGATGGAGCCGGGAATGATTGGGCAGTATGGCAATGGGCTGAAGTCGTAAGTTTTCAAACATTTCGAAACAATCGCAGTGCTCGCTGGTCTCGGTAGTGGAGTAATGGTGTCAGTTCGTTGTACATTTCGTCTTTATAAGGTGTTGGTCTTTAGGGGCGCTATGCGTATCGCTAAAGATTTTATAATGTTCACAAAAAAGGATGGATTGCTGACATGTCTCTTGTTATCCCGCACTTTTCACGAAAAGTACTCTCTAAAAGAAGTAAGTGCTTGTTTTTACTTACTTATTTCTTTGTTGCTATGTAATAGATCTGTGGTCATTAAAGAAAGCTCAGTAATCGAGGAGAATTATTTCTTTTCATATTGTTATCCAGAAAAATATTTCCAGGTTTTTGTACCAGTCGCCTCATTTACTCTTGAGAGCGGATCTGCGGTCATGTATTGCGATTCACAGATACAGGCGGAAATGGCAAGTATTTCATTGGCTTGCTTATTCTTCTCGTGATCTCTTGAAATCTTCATTTGCTGTTATTTTTATGGAATGTTTGTTATTCGTGAACTTTTCATCATGAAGAAATCCGTATAGCTTTACTGTG